AGTCTAGAGTCTTTACTGGTCCTTCCTCCCGCCTAGCCCAACCAGTTAAGTCCAGAACACCAATCCGAGCCTCTGTGATATGAATCATGTATTTCAAGCATACTGAGTTTATATACCAACCAGACAGACCACATCGTACCATAAAATATGAAACAACATTTGTACAAGAATTAGCCAAATGTCATAAACATAGTTCTCAAAATTAGCCAAATGTGTCTGTGAATGAAGGAGATAGTAATTGATAGACAGGGCATAACTCAAGAATGGTAAATCGTGTAATAATAGTTCGTAGGTCAAAATAAAACTCATAATAAGAGGGACATGAATATGAACAGTTTAGCTACATAACAATTACACTATAAAAAATATACGTTTAGTATTGGTCCATAAATGGATCCCAAAAATTACCATTCATGATTCTTATCGGGATATAACACTTACACTAATCTGGTCGTTATTGTTCTTCTTTTTTTCTTTTACGCTCCCTACCTTCTTTTTTGTCTTCCCATTCTCATTGTTTTGTGTGGCGCACACATATTTGGTGCCCTCTTGTACCGATATTTGTGTGTTCAAATAAATAAACAAATAATCAACACCCATGAACTCCACTAGTCATAAATTCACACTAGGACTTCTACTGGTTAGACATTCATTGGATGAGTTGAAGGTCTTGAATTCGATCACTAGCAAACCCATCTCTTATCAAATCCATTAAGATACAGAAAGAATATCAATGGGACAATAATGAAATGTTGTTAATACAAATACACCATTTAAACGTAAATGAATGATTGTTCAATTCTTTATGTTACATTTATCTAATGTTAAAATATTGTCAATAATGCTAACATTTATATATGTACCATCTTACTATCACATACGATCATATAGGGAGGGGAAATTCAAGTCACTGACACTTTGTAAGGTCAATGATAACTTCAGACTACTTCGTTGATAAAACGTTGAATGATATATTTAAAACTTTAGTCACCTACCTGTACTACCTACAAATTCCATCACAATCATGTAGGTATATACACAGGTTGTCTTGCCTTAAACCGTGAAATTAAATTTACTTTATACATTTCTTTCTACGAACTAATCCTTCTTTTATGTATAATCTTTCTTCCATATATTATTACCATATAAGTTACTCCTTCTATGAATTTGGTGTTCATCTTGTTGTGCTAATGAAGTGTGACAACTTGAACCGATGTATACATGTGCCTAGTGCTATATTGTAGCTGACTGATCACCTACAAATAATATTCTAATTCAAACAGAACAAATGGTTATTTATGATGAAGATCACTTACAAAATGAAGAATTCTCACAGATCTATAGTTTTGTTTTCTTATGCATTTCAATGGAACTTATATTAGACTTCTATAAAAGACATCGAATTAGAACTCGATTATGAAGATTTTTCAGTGAATATTTCTAACCATAAAAACCATACCAACACCGATGTTAATCATATTGACATTTATATCTCATATGAAAAGAATTACAAGTTTAAAATTACGCATGTAATATCCTTTTGTTTATATCCAGTATACTTTAACTAATTACATAATCAATCAATAGAGTATTTTTGATTGAAATCATGAACCGATTGATGTTAGACCATCATTAAAAACTTGCAAGCACTGGACGGCCGTTTTGTCCTATTATGGGACTCCTCAGCAGTGTGCATCCACGATCTATTGAACCACTGAGCCGGCATCCATTGGTGATAATGTCTAACCTCAACCAATCCACGAAATTGCGCGATGGTCGTACAAGGCCCTGGGTTCGAATCCAGCGAGCGGGATCGTGGATGCTCACCGCTGAGGAGTCCCACAATAGAATGAAACGGTCGTCCAGTGCTTCCATGTTTCCAAAGGTGGTCTAACATCAATCGGTTCATGATCTCAATCAAAAACTTAACAATCTTCACAACCACTATACCAACAATAGAGTATTCATTCCTTCGTATGTTTTTCTTCATTTTTTGTTTTACTTCAAATACACATCCTAGTGATTATGTCATAAAGAATATTGTTCAAATGAATCGATCGATAGATTGAAATGATAAATCATCAGACATATTCTTTCGTTATTTTTTGTCTAAAAAAGAAAAGAAACACTTTCTGATGAACAGAACTGATTGTCTACTTTCCAAATCAATATCTAACAGATTAGACAAAGATTATCAATCGAAATGTTAGTTGTAAAGTTCTATGTATACTAAATCAATGTGTAATTATGTTAGGTCCCGGTAAACATAATTAATGGTAACTTTGGGATCCATTTATGGACCAATACTAAACGTATATTTCTATTGTATAATTATTAAGTAACTAAACTATGCATATTCATATTGCTGTTATTATAAGCTTCATGTTGACCCATTAACTATTATTATACGTTTATACCATTCTTGAGTTATGGCCTGTCTATTAATTACTATCTCCCTCATTCACAGCCACTTCTGGCTAATTCTTGTACAAATGTTGTTTCATATTTTATTGGTACGTTGTGGTCTGTTTGATCATTAATATAAACTCAATATGTTTGAAATATAAGGATTTATATTGCAGAGACTGAGATTAGTGTTCTGGACTTAACATGCAGGGCTAGGCAGAAAGCAGGACCAATCAGGACTGTATGCTGCTCGTACGTGTTTTACGCGTCCACGGTCCGATCGAGAAGTCACTGCCCTCTAATCGAAGGTCACAAGATATAACAAATTATGATTTAATAGCTCTACATAATGATTATTTTTGAATATCAAGGAGATATCTATAAGTGAATAAACATCTAATTCGCTGTACTTTCATAGAAACAACTCTTGTTCGCCTCCATTTACTTATGACTGTTTTGTTTAGTAAGATTATGAATGAAATTCAACCAATTTATTGCATATATAAAAACAGTCGCTAGCAGAACATCTCGGACATGATATTGAGTGATATGGATCTAAATCATCAGAATGAAATAAAAAAGAAGTGACCTATTAGAATTTTGTCAACATAATTGATCACACTTACCTAAACCAGACTACTAATAAATACACTATGATTAGTATAGTTATGTTTAGTGATTGTGTAAAGTTTCCATACAATGTCAATCGTGAATAAATATTATAAGACTGAAATCCACTGACATATTTCTTGTAAAGTAGTATGTTAGAAATGTATGCAGAAAGTGTTGTTTAACATCAATTGAATGTACTTGGTTATGTAATCTACTTTTGACGATTATCTTCTTATTTAATCAGACACTCCTCCTTGCACAATTTGTCTATGAGTAGTAATTAGTATCTTATGGTATATATTAAGGAATAAACTGAATTATATATATGTAAGTATTTATGTATATACATATGCTTATCTATATGTATATTATAATCTCTTAACTATGTGGAATGATCTATCCAACTTGTTAGCCATGAAAGTCTATCCTTTTCCTATGTCAGAAGAACATTAAAAATGTGGTTGAAAAGAGCACTGTTCTAACTTTCAATGCTACCGACAGTGATAAATGTTGTGTATAGGGTGAGTACTTCATCAAGTCAGACTTTTAAGAGCTTTTACGACTGTGTTTAACAATAGAAACGGAAATCTTCTAAATAAGTAACATCAAATAACGAGTATTTTAAATGAGATAACATCAAATATTGTAGAATAAAAACTTGTAGCTTGACAATAGTTTGTTCACTGAACATGATAGGACACATATGCTTATAAACTGATTGTTAGATATAATTTCATTCATTTCCATTCAAAATATAAGCGAAGTACATCATTAAACCAAAAAAACGCAATCAGAAATCCGTTGTTATCTCTTACAAAAGTATAAATGTCAATCATGTTGATCATTCATCATTATAAAGTACCCTAAGTCATATACAATTGTTCTACGTTATGGTTGATCAGATTCCATAGATCTAATCCGATTGTGATCATTTAACTAACTGACACAATACCTAAGTTCAGTTTGTTTTATATCAGATGTTGGAAACTGTGAACAGTTTTAGTAACTCACATGCAATTGAGTTTGTTCACATTTTGTTAATATCAGAAGGGGTTTTGCGGAGATTTTAGTAATTTCAACAGTTGAGATCAATTTCGTGGGTTAGTTGAAGTTAGACATTAACACCGTTGGATCACAGCCGGCTCAGTGGTCTAGTTGGTTAAGCGTCTGACGCGAAACTGATAGGTCCTGAGTCCGAATGCCATGAGGCGAGGTCGTGGATGCGCACTTCTGAGGAGTCCCACAATAGGACGAAACGGCCGTCCGGTGCTTCCAGGTTTTCCATGGTGGTCTAACTTCAACTGACTCATGATCTCAACTGTTGAAATTAATTTTGTTAACTTATTAACGAACTGAGTCATCCATACAACAACAGCTTATCTACATCATTGTATCCTTATTATTGTTGCGAATGTATAAACATGTATGCTTGAGCATTGCTTACTGCCGACACATTTATTCACTCTGCTAGGCTTACTACTTAACCGCTTAATTGATTCGATGATTCACTCATTCCACTGTGTATATACATATATGTTCATGTTATTCATGTTCATTGCTCTGTCTAGCTCTCGCTCAATTGTACTCGCTTACTCGTACTCATATTCGCTGACTCACTCGCTCGCTTGCCTTCTTGCCTTTCGGCACAACTCTTTCATGCTTGTTTAATTCATTTGTAATTTTGAATATCTGTGTGTGGTCCCATAATAAACATAATCAACACTTCATATTCGCCTTCTGATTAATATATCGTTTGGGTGTTATCTAATGATGGTTATCAAGACGAACTGTACACGATGTATTAAGGATTATATTGAATACCGATCACTACAGTATATTATTACCCTGTCGCAATCATTCTATTTTATCTGTAGATCTCAATTTCATAAAGTACTTTAAGTAATAAATTGTGATGTACTTTATCATGAATCTTTTTCTCTATTCTCTTCTTTCTTTCTTTTCTTTTTAATTTTGTCTTTCAGGTACATCACAAGTTCATATTTTCTGTTTATATTCAATCTATTTAGATACTTTATTTTGTAATTTAACATTTTTACAAACATTCTTTTCAAGTTTAGATACATATTTACGATTAAAGAATCCAATATTTTATTTATCCTCATCATATAGAAGACCAGCATTATGGTTAAAAATAGGTTCACCATGGTTTATGGCTTGTATACAATCCATTGGTCAAATAGCATTAAGTGATCGTCGTCATGTTAAATTATACACTGGTACAATCGAAACATCATCATCATCATCATCATCATCCTCATCATCATCAGTTACATCCTATCATGTCAATTCATATCAACATTATTCTATGTTGAATAAAGATCCTATAAATGATAAACAAACGAATTCTGAATGGAATACAGTCTGTCTATTATTAGATCCAAATTTTTTAATAATACGTACTGTAATTGCATATGCTTTACCATTAATCACATGTTTAATATTGATTGTATTACAATTATACGGTTTACATAGATTACGTAATCATTCACCAGAAATGTTGAATGCTTTATTAAATGTACGTTATCCTAGAAACAATAATAGTACAAGTAATAATAATACTAGAGAATACAATGAAGGAATGTGTTCACAAGATTCAGTCATTCCAAAACACGAAGCAAATCATTTCAAAAGACAAAATACTCAATTCGTTTGGAGAGAAAAGGATACTGGATTATTGAATAACATTCATTCAATCTTTGATGGAACAATGTCGAATAGAATATTGTTACAAAATCCTCAATATAGACAATTATCAATGATGACAAATTCTTATCAGTTAAATTCAGCTTATACAAATGAAACATTATTCCTTAGTAACAATGGATCGATTGATCGAATACAGTTAAATCAATCATCCATATCACCAACTCGTTTATCAACTAGTTATTTACCTATGAGTCATTTAAGTGATTTACAAACAACAGTCTCAACGTCAATTTCAATGTTTGAATGTCCTACACATGGTCGAATTACAATGACCAATTCTATAAGCCGTATATCTAATATTGATATCTCGAAGAATGGTGATCAAACTGTACCAAATCAAATTTCTAGTCTGATAAATAATTCTAAGACAGAAATGGAGAGAAATTCTGAAAAACATTCATATTCCACTTCAGTAACTACTAATAGTAATACAATAACAATGAATTCTATGTCAGATAATAATCATAATATTAATAGTTTGTTTACAGGTAAATTAGGTTCGAATACTTCCAGTGAAGAACCAATTACTTCAAATGCTTTTTTATTTAATTTGGATGGTGAACAAGTTAAGTTATTGTCGTTTAATCATTCATATGAACCGTTGAATTCAACTGGATTAGATCAGCATCATTATTATTTATCATCAATGATGTTACCAACATCATTCCCTGAGTGTACTTCTTCTTCTCCATCCTGTCAACATCAACTATTACATCATCAGCATACTTCTCCAATGACTTCACAAGTAGATTTTAAACTAACACATGGAATGCATAAATCAAAATCTGATTATCAAATTAAATGTCGAAATGAAATGACTTCAACAAACGATCGTCTCATGAGATCACATAGTTTAAAACCAAGTTATCAACAACAAGCACCATTTCATCAAAGTCAAATATTATCTAATGAGAAGAATGAAAACGATATGTTCAAGACAAATTTATGGTTGACTGCATATCAAGGTGAACAATTAGTGGTAGCAATTAATTTAGTTAGTTGTATTATTGCAGTTGGTACATGGTCACCATATATATTAGTGACATTAGCATATGGTTTATGTCAACCAATGAATATACCGAAATCTCTATATCATCAAATGATGAATTCTTATGGGACTTCATCAATCTCTACAAATTATCCTTTATCTTCTATTCAATCCATTTCATCTATTATGAATGATGATCTTAATTTATCAGATTATTCAATGAATAAATGTTGGATTCATTTAAGTGTTGATCGTATAGCAGATTTTCGTTGGTGGGCTTATGCATGCTCTGGACTATTATTACCATGTTTATTATTCTTTCTTGATTTAGGTTTACGTGAAGGTTGTTGGAAAGCGTTACAATTAAAGACTCAATCAAATCAGAATATTGATTCAACGAAATCACTTTCAAATAGTATGAATAAACAGTTAATCATTGATAATGAATTGAAATCTGTCAAAGTTTCTAATCATTCAGACAATCATAGTAACAGATTATGTGATCATTCATCAACAAGTCATAATATCAACACTGACTGTAGTATAAACACTGAGTCAATCAGTAAACTTTACAAACTTCAACAATTTGAAATGATCTCAACTATTCCATGTACACAGACCAATGCATAAATGTGAAGTAAATATTTCTGTGAATGTAATGATCATTAGACATAAGTAGTTGATGGGAGAAAGCGAAAGCAAATCATTAGAATCCATAATATAATGCTACCTTTCTTACTTGCTTTCAGTCTTCATCGTGTTGTATCATCACATGAATAGATTATGAATAAAATCTTATTAAAGAGATCGAATGCAGAGCTTTACATTCGACTTTTTAGTATCTAGACAATAGAACTATTGTGCTACGACACCAGCTACATAACAAACTGCTTACTGTCAAGTCATTACAAATTCCGATGAAATTGTTAACATAAATTACCGTTTGGTTAAACAGTAATCCTTTCGAGAGAGAAAATGTCCTTCACTTCGATTGAAAAAAAACAAAAACCATTTAGATGTAATTTGTTATGTAACATTCCAATGTAATATGCCTTCAGTCTTTTAGGTTGTATAGTTGCATTTCGATGTTGTTAACAGTTTCCATTTAGACTTCGTTGTAAATAATATTTTGATAATAAGTAAATAATAAGTAGTTTGCAACAATATTCGTAAAATGATATTTGAAAATATTTATTTATTTATTTGAATACATAAATATTGGTAGGAGGGAGCACCAGATACCACATAAATGTCATTTGATTTGTATGAGGGATGGGATACTGCCCGGGTGCCCAAACCAAAATAGGTGGTTTTTTAGGGAGCCACATCTGGAGCCTTCAACCTAAAAGTCTGATCCACAAGGCAATGGAGTAACTTAAGGAGATGCAGTCTCATGGTAGCCGGTGACCAACAATAGTTTCATACGCCATTTGTTCACTCGGAATACCGGAACCCATTTAAACCATTGGTTTGGAATCAGGATTTTCCAAGTTACCTAGCGGGTCCTCCATATCCACCAACACGGTTAAAGCGCCGGACTTTCATTTTTCTCCTTTCAATTTCGTAAACAACACCCCCGCCACGAGAAGGCAGTGAGTAGGACTTCCCTGACAGAGGTTATATACGCATGGCCATGTGAAAGCGTTTCGAGTGGGAGAGCTGACTCTCCCCACTCTTGGCCGTACCAAGGCATTTGCGGGCAAAATGCAATCGAGCCTACCAGGATCTGGTTGAGACTACAATTTATGAATGACCTCTAAGAGACGTTGAAGTGACCTTCAGAATGTTCACCTACTACTTTAGACTAAATGATGATCATAAACCAGTGTGAGGAATAAGTGTCGCGATATACAGTTGATGGTTATGGTTAGGAATTCGATATAAGATTTTCATCACGAACTGATATCAGCCAAAATGTGAAAATGTTATTTAGCCAAAAGGGATGAATGATTTTCGCTTCAAAATACAAGACCTGTTTTCCTATATCTGACTGCTTCGTTTATAAATTATAATCTCGTCGAAATCATTTATGGCTTTTTAACTCTTAAAGCGTTTTGAATTATTTCACCGTTGATATTTTCAATCAGTCTTACTCGATATACGTTCATCCTGTGCAGTTTGCCTTTGTGTGGCTGTTATGTTCTCTATTCAGTTAATGCATAACATGATATACAACTAACAGCACTCGAACGAATAGAACCACACAGTCGCAAATTAGAAGACAGAAGTGATTGTTTGGTAAGAATCCCAAACGCACTGAAAATCATAGCTATTTATAGACAATAGCATTCGCTATAACATCACTAAAATTCAGCCAATCTTCAAGGAACCAAGTTGTGCAATTGTCTAGTCATAGCATGCCATGGTAATACTCTAGAAAGCTCCGTTAGGTTTTGACTAATTTGAAACCCTTCGAATCCTTTAGGGTCTCTAGAGGCTCCGTCGTATTTCTCGAAAACCATCCCAACAGTGGTCATTTTGTCACACGTTTTATTGAATAAATAAATTTTAGTTAACTGCGGATTGCTGAACACGCTTTTCATTTTATCCAGGCATCTAAAGGTGAAGGTACTGATTTAGGTTGAGTACATAATCAAAATACATCAATGATATTAAGTTAACATCATGAGTGAAAACGAATCCATATAATAATCATGTTATTTAACAAACAATGTTACATCACTTATTCCTCTGTACAAGAGTCAAGTTGAAATCACCTAATCATCGTAGCTTTAGTGAAACCGAGAAAAGTTGTATTCGCTAATCAGAAGTTATTTTTAACAAATTTGTGAAATTAACTATCCATAAAGTTACAGGCAACCTCGAAAGTCAAAACTTTACCTTCCTCCAAACATAAATCTAATGGAATATGATGAGAAAATCTTGTAGATTACTTTATCCATCCTCTTCTATGTATTTGCTTTCACAATTATATGTATATTCATGTATTCATTTAGAAGTAACTTCAAAAGGGATGTTGTATTTCTGCATCATTCTGAATTAAACTACATTAACCAGTGTAGATAAAAAGTTATGACGTAATAGTCTGAAGTTTCAAATGATTAGGCGATATTTGTAGTACCACAAGAAATCAGGTAGCTGTGTTTTGTTTTTACTTAAGGATCTTTTTATTCGGTATTGAATATATTCTTCTACATAGTGGATTACCTTTAAGTTGAACGATTAACTTATCAGCCATAATGTGGATAGTAGTCTGTATACTACATTGCAGAGATACATGGTGTATATACGTTTGTCTATAAGACTATTACTTTTTATTGACTATAACTTGCTTGTAGACTACAAGTTAGAAATATAGACTGTTGGATCCTGAACAACTAATTTAGGGAGAATAGTAATCGACATGAAACCTGAAGATGATGGATTTGTATTGATTCGAATTCTCCTTTTAGTTTCGGTCAAGGTCAGTTGTGACTTATGTACATGGTACTTTGGTTAGAACAGCTAGATACATTTAACTAACCATTACATAATAAATTGTTATTACTTGATAAATGAGTTACTGGTCAAATTATTCGTCATAACACAACTACTAATTGAGACTTAATTTTAATGTGTCATCCAGGCAACATTTACTTTTTCCATTTACTACTATATATGAGTGAAATATTTACAAATCGAAGTTGACAGTGAAACAATTACATGTTAAGAATGTTGAGTGAGAATTCGATTATGTAACGAAATGATTGAAGTTAGACATTAACATCATTGGATAACGGCTCAATGGTTTAAAGATTAAGTGTTTGCGTGCGTGACCGATAGATTCTGGATTTGAATTATGAGAGCAAGATTGTGGATGCCTATTGCTGAAGAGTCTCATACTAAGACGAAACGATCGTCCACTACTTCCAGATTTAGATGATAGTTGGAGGTAGTCAACAGGAAACCCTGGACCCGGGTTTCGTGCTACTTGGCACTCGTCAGCAAGGTGTACCTGTAATCTTGAGAGAACTGGTGCTCCCTGACGGACTCGATCTCGTGTCACCCAAGCAAGCATGATATTGATCACCACCCAGTGATCAATCAGTTGTGACTACTTCCAGATTTTGATCATTATAATTTACAAAATACAAACCTAATGATCATCGGAATAAATTTTATCTTCATAATTCACAATTTTCTAATGTCTTAGTGCAATTGGGAAAAATGGATTAGATTAGGGTTCAAAGAAAACAAAGAATAAATGAAAGAAATTAAACTATATTACAGGGTAAAAATAAGACAAGTTAATGAAGAACATTCATTCACTTAACTTCACAAATCAACGTAAAATATCGTGAATGCCTTCGTTAAATGCAAATGATAAAACGTAATATTGAGATAATATGATAGTTGGAGGTATTCAACAAGAAACCCTCGGCCTAGGTTTTGTACCATTTGGCACTTGTTACTGGAGTGTACCTGTAATCTTGAGGGCACGGATGCTCTCTGGCTAACTCAATCTTGTGTCACCAGGTTCACAGTCAAAGACGTTAGCACTGAGATATCCAGGCCATGACTGCCCTCCTGTAGGACTCAGATGTATACGCAACGTCTCTGAATGTGAAGCCGGATAACGCGGGATCGAATCCGTACGGCAGCTAACAATTCTTTCAAGACTACAATTACAACTCTCTGACGAGTGCCAAGTAACACGAAATCTGGTTTCAGGGTTTTCTGTTGAGTACTTTCAACCACCCTCTTATTTCAATATAGTGCACACAATGTTGAGTCAACCAGACTTGTAGCCATATTACAACTTGATCGATAGCATTCGATCTGCACTAAGAAGGACCTGACATACATAAAATTGATCACCATCCAGTGATCAATCAATAATAGTTTATTCAGTAAGAGATGTTTGATTAGCGTAAAGAATTATCCACTATCATATAAGCAAAATTCTATAATGATATCACTAATGAATATTCCAAAACTGTCTACAAGATGCTTTTAAAATATAACTAGCGCTTACTTATATTTCATACACATAGTTCCCTTTATTATCTTAAATAGAGCAAGAACAAAGATTGGTGCAGAATAATATGAATTCATTTTATTTCGTTAGGTTCTCATCAGCTGCTTACAACCTAAATTATTTGAAAATTCAACATTATTACAGATATTGACATATTTATATATAAGAGTGTGATTAAGGATCAATACATGTATATGATGATGTAGCAAGCAAAGATTCAGATAGAGTTAAAGAGGTCATAAAATGTTTGATTCGAATAAATAAATAAATAAAGTTAGAAAGGGAAAGTTCTGGAACATTGAAATAGTGATTAGAACTCATGAAAATAGATTAATGGTAATAAAGAAAATGTGAATTGAAATCAATCATTTATGTATGATGTAATTTATATTTCAGAAAGAGTCGCAATAATGACGTAATAAATAAATAAATAGGAGCAAATTAATAGAAAGAGTGGGGGTTATTGTTACCAGGGTAAAGAAAGATTTATTACTGTCTCTTTTTGTATACATAGATCTGGTTTTAAACGTTTGATTGCTAACGCTTCAGCGAATTTCAAAAGGTTCGAGTTTAATTGTTTGTTAATCACCTTGAAGGACTTCAGTATATCAGCTTTATGTCCTGTATCAAGGAGATGTCTTGCGATAACACTGTTGAATGAGTTCAATCCATTTAATCTTAAACTTTTCGGAATATGTTCTTTGAATCGGACGTAGGCTCTCCTTTCTGTTCTACCAATGTAACTGCTTTGGCAGGTACATGTAAATTTGTATACACAGTTGGTGGTAACATGAAAGGGATACCTGTCGACCTTTGATTGTGTCAAAGAACATGTTGTTTTGGACAGGACAATCAATTTCGCTGCAGGATAAGTTCTTGTCAGTGCAGTTTTTAATCTCATATTGATTGCTCCTGTGACATCGTCACCTTTGACAGTCAGATCTGAAACTTTTGTCAATATTGAATAAGCTATTTTAAAATTCTTTCAAGTATTTCAATAGAGAAAATGTTGAAGTGTTATGAAATCTACTCTAAGGGTTTTAATAGTCAATTATGTTTATGAATTATGCTTTGATAATTCTCCACATATGACATGGTGTATGATTTGTAATGACCTTACTTTGTTAATCAATCATCTCCGTAACCGTTATTTGATAAACCTCAACGATGTTTGAAATCAGAAAGTAAAAAGAAGTGGCAACTACAGTTTATTA